ACGAATCAATCGCAAACCGAGGTACCTTGTTTGACGGGAATTTTCCGACACGACGGCTCACAACCAGCCTCAGTAGTGTGATGTCCGCTTTTCGGCGGCGTCAGAGTTTGGTCCCACGAAGGCCAACCCAATGCCGTCTGGTACCGACAAACGGCGTAATTCTTTCCAATAATAACAAATTCAGTCGGCTGTGCAAAGGTCGCCTCATTCGGCTGATAGGCTTTCTGCGCAAACGACTCCCATTGGCCCGCGGAGGTGGACTCGAAGGCGAAGAACCTGATGTTCTGCTGACAGGGGCATGTTTGGGGTTGAGGAGACGCAGAGGCGAGCGACCGATTCCTGCCCGAGGACGCCGTCTTGCTAACTGGAGAGGTTGTCAAAGCCTGAAGCAGCGGACACTTCTGCCACGCTCCTAACGGTCCAGCTCGACTCTCAACCAGGGCGTTTAACTGAGTCACCAGCTCGCTAACAAGCAAGTCGACACTTTGAAGTGAGGCAAGTTGAATTCTTCGCTCGACTACCATGGGAATACCCGCGGAGCCAGCGGTGTTGAGCCATGGGATTAGGGTATCCGAAATGAAGGGAGGCATCCGAATAGTGTCGGCCAGGAGGAAGCAGTTCGAGGCCGAGTTGGGCAGAGGTACGGTCACAACAGCACTGGGTTCAGAGTGAGTGTCAGCGGAGCGACTTTTGAAGATCGGCAGCTCAATGTTACAGGAGGGCTGCGTAAGGACAAAATACTCCATAACTAAGTCGTACACGGAGTTCTTGACGAGGGCATGTAATTTCTGGATCAGGGCTTTTATGTCCAGCTCGCCACGCTCCCACAGTCGCAGACGAACTGCTACGCGGTCGTTTTTATCCCCCGACCAACGGCCGTCTTCAGAGAACTGGATGTCATCGAGGCACGCCAGCAAGTCGTCCAAACCAGCAATACAAGACTTGGTCCCCTTGAAACAGTGATGCAGCCACTCCTGGTGGCATAAGAAGGAGGTGACGGTGAATGGCTCCAGACTCGTGGCACTCAATAAATCAATCACTGCGGTGACGAGTCCGAATTCAGCAGCGCCGGCGCCTCGGCGGCGATAATGAAGCATGATTTCGCAGCGCCCCAGCCGACTGCGGAGACAGGGGAGAAGCTCTTGCTCGGGTTTCGCCGACGTCATGCAGGCGAGGAGGTTTTGTTTGAAGTAGTGGCAAAAGGGGAGGATAAGCGCGCCAGACGGGACATGGGGAGGCTGCAGCTCATCCGTGAGGAAGGCCGGAAGGCGGAAAAACAGACAACGATGCGGCTGATGAATGCGACGGACAAACAGGAAGTCGAAGTCGTAAGGAGCGAAACGAAAGAGGACAGTTCGCGACAGAACCTGCTGCATGCGCTCGAGCACGATCTTGTCTAACAGCGACTGAAGCAGGGTGCGCACGAAGTTGCAAAGTTGTCGACTAGGTGAAGTGATTCCGTGCAGTGTGGCCTGGATTTGAATCCGACTTGTGGCAGTCGATGGGCTTGTTAAGGATGGAAGACTTTCGCGACGAGCAAAGCTCGAATGGGACAGCTTGTGCGGAAAATCAAGCGCATTGCCAATATCTACAGGTACCTCTTTAAGAATCATGTAGAAAATTCGTTGGTTGGAGTCCTTGGAAACGAAGCACTGAGCTCGCGGTGTACCGAACAAAGCCTGATTGCGGCAACTGCTGGCTGAGCTGCCTCGACGCTGAAGAGGTGATTCAGCAGGTACACTGGTTGACGACTCTGGATCATCAAAAAGAACAAACATATTTTTTCGATTCACCACGGCGAAGTTTTCTAGGAGACGACGCACCTCCGGTAACACTTGATAGCCCCGTTCGCCAGCAAAAACGGCGCGCGGAGACACTTCCACAGAGAAGGTAAACTTCGGTGGACAGGCCAACGACCCCGGAGGATGTCGTTTAGTGGCAACAGTTGCGGTCGCATTTTCAGTGTCAGGTTTTTTTCGATGTGATTTCACAACCGCCTGCAAATCACCGGTGTCAGAATCGGTCGCCGAGGCAGCAGAATGAACTAAACTCGGCGAGCGAAGCAGTCCATGAGTTGGGTTTCGTCGCTTAACATCGAGAGTCCGAGGGGGTTGTTCGTGTTCTTCTTCGGGCAGAAGCGCGGGATCACAAACACGCTCAAGCATGAGCCGATCGAGAAGCAGGGATTGGTTAACTAGCTTCACCGCGACCTTGATGTCTTCGAGGGCGCGACGGAAAACGACACAATGAGGGCAGGCCTCCCCCGACGCCGCAGCTGAGGCCTCGCGGTGTGTGTCTGAGTGCTGGAAGAACGCCTGAACCACGGAACTGCCGACGCGGAAGATGAGCCAGAACGCAGGGAGTCCATCGGTGAGCGGGCCCAGCTCTGAGTCCCCTGGCTTAATTTCTACGTCTCCCTGGGGGGGAAAATAAGAAGAGAGGAGCGAACAGTCAGCGGGCTCGACGTCAGACAGGCTGGGAGCGATAACAGGGTGTTGTGATGGCGTGGCCTGCTGCAGACCAATCGAAACGAATGAAGACGCGCGTGTTTTGGAGGTTATCGACTCAAAATACTCACTCTCCTCGCCAATTTCGCTGGAGTCGCCTTCATAATCTAAAAGAAACATTTTACACAAATCAGCTAAGTGTGACGTCACAGTGACTAAATGAGTAGAACGCGCAAGGAAACAATGAGAAAGCACATTGTCTTACATGAATTCTGTAGCGTAGAAAAGCTAGAAATGCTCACCTTGGTGTGGAGTAGCCGAGGGTGTTGATTTTCCGACGTCGAAATCCCCGGCATCGGCTGTTTTACTGGCTTCGTTGGCTTGCATTGTGATCACATTCATCATGGAACTGAATCCATACTTCCGTTGTCGAGATGGAGACATCTGAGAGCACTGCGCCTCCAAGTCGACCTCAATATTTCCCACAGACACGCTCCTAGCTAGTTGTTGCGCCTCAGCATTTGTTGGAGGGGGGTAGGACAGTGGAATCCGAAAATCCTTGACGCTGCCAGCACGTGGGCGCGGAATGTACTGCAGGGGACCTGCCTTGCTTACAAAATAATAGTCGCCCAAATGCGTGAGTTTTGCCTGCGCATAGCGGAATGAGATGGATTGGAGGCGCGCGATGAAGCGGGGCATCGACTTATCGGAAGCAGTGACAAAGTCAAGATCAACGCTCTCCCACCCGATGCCAGACATGATGCTCCACAGGGGGTCGGGTACTCCGCATTTTGTGAGGTAAACCGGGCTGCGTTTTCCTTGGCTGCACGACTTCGACAGTCTGGTTCGAGAATGGCTGACATGGAATGGTGGAGGGAAAGACGTTGGTGGGGAGAGATGCAGCAGGAGCGACTTGGAATTCTCCATATGTCGCAGAACCAGTTCCAAAGTAGGCACGGAGACTGGCTGATGGAGACGAAGAGAACAAACCACCTCATCCTGAAGAAGCCATCGGAACATCTGAGCGGTTTGCTGAAGTGCAATCCACTGGTCTTTGTCCAGGTAGCGCACGAATTCAGCATTGAATAAACTAGTACAGACTTCACACGGAGTCGCATTCTCGCTAACCTCTAACTGGCACTCGCACCAATGCAGGGGGCGCGTGAGCTCATCGAACATTTCTGACGAACTGGAAGTTGGACGACGGTGAATGATGGAATCCTTGGTGAGATTGGAGTTATAAGTATCCTCCCCTGTCTCACTAAATGGCGACAAACTCGCTGAATCCGAGGTGTTTCCACTGTCTCCAGACTCTCCAGCCTCTTTCAGAGCTTCCAAGTGCAGAGCATCAGGCCCTGAGTCGCCTTCGGCGTTCATGGACGTTGCAACAGCCGACTCTGGCTTCCAGACGAGAGGAGTGAAGACTACACTGAGGTTCAAATCACCCAGATTCACCTCGGTGCACTGCGGCCAAATATCGACCAGACAGATTGGCAGTCTTTCCACCGGAAAAGAAACCTCTTCCCCCTTATGCGTTATCGTCGCCATAACCTTCAGAAAAAGAGGCTTCTTTGACGACATTGGATCGTGACTGCATGCTCCTTCGTCGGCCATATGCTCAGCTGGAGGGTCTCCCCTGGGGTCTTCAGTTTCACTTTCCGAGCGGGAAGAAGCAGAGAATACGACCTGACGACTTTCAGCAACACCGGCAGACGTGTGGCGGTCCATCGCAGTGGTTGATGGAGTGTCTTGGGAATTAGAATCGGCTTTGGGAATGGTGATGGGCCAAGTATCACACCGCAATGCCGGACCGCGCAGGCTACAACGACCCGTTTTATCGTCTCCACGGAAGTAAAAGAATGCAGGAAATTGGGGCACCAGTGAGAAGTGCTGATTAAAGACGCTCTTTAGTCGGGATTTGATGCGATCCCTGTCATTAGGACGCAGCTCACAAGTCCGCGTTCGTCGCCTCGAACCGCCAGTGTCATCACATACCTCGACGCTCCGCGTTCTAGCCTGATTCCTCATAACGGCAAAGCAGTGCGAGCAGGTAGAGCAGAGGAATTCTGTGGCGTCAACGGTAATCGGCGGCAGAGCGCAGCAAAAGCGTCCCGAGGTAAGGACATTTCCCAAAGCCGCTTCCGAGACCATAAACCCATGAATTAGAGCACGATGGGCACATTCCACAAATGCCTCATCGCACAAATTTAACAGCCCTAAAGCCGAGTCTCGAAGTCGCTTCCAGAGCTTGTCAAGCTCTTTTGTCAATCGTCCGTTGCCCTTGGCAGCACTCACAAAGTCCTCCGGCGGATTCACGGACAATCCCTCGCGGCCAATGAAATGAACACCATCCGCCGTACGAATATCCTCGCCGCCGTGTCTAAAGAAGTCGATCACAAGGGTTTCGGGGTGGTTATAGGTCCATCGATCGTCCAATGGGAAAGACAAGTAGGTGTGCGTGCAGGAGAAGATGAATATGGGGAAGGATGCCTCAGGTCGACTCGGCACAACTACACGCTGCCTGAGGTGATGCATGAGGCCCTGGCAAAAAGCAGACGTCGCCGACTTCAAGTTGGAGGGAAGAAGAAAGAAGGTGACAGGCGAGGAGCCAATCTCCAGGCTGCTGGATTCAGTTGGATTATCCAGGGGGTGAACCAAATCATCTCCACTACCAGGAATTTTGTCGATTAGACTAGTGATTGAGGCAAAGCATTGCCATTCGACGTCCGGTTCGCTGGCCAATAAACGGGTCAACTTCGCTGCCGTTACTTTCGTCTCCTCGGAAATCAAGTAATTGCTAAACTGTGTGGAGTCAGCCTTCGAAAGGGGAATGGCAGTTACGTAAAGCATGCGTTGCACCAAACTGAGCACGAGGCGGCAGATCACATTTTCGCTGGAGAGGTAGTTTAAAGCCGTCGGAGTATGTGGAATTAGCGAGGGGTCAAGTAGAAGGGGGTAGAGGAGACACACACGTGGCGATACCGCGGTGATATTGGCCAGATTGAAGGGCAGCGCCACAGCAGGATGAGTGAGGGAGGAGGATGGGCATGGTTCCGAGAACAACGACTCGAGGGGTATCGTCTGGTGTGCGTGGTGGTGGTCATTTAAATGACGTGCAGGCTTCACCAGGCGATGCAGTTCGATGATCTTGAGGAGGCAGGTCGTGAGCATCTTCTCAAGAGTGTAGTAGGCGGAGAGACAGATGCAATCCAGTTGAAGCATCCGCTCGGCGACTTGGGTGTAGGAGAGGTTTGTCAGGTACAGTGATTCCATCAGCAAGTCGGCAGCATGACCGTGTTTGGGCTCAATCCACACTTCAGTGGCGATCTGTGTCTCTGAGCTCAACTGAGCTGAAGTTAGAGTTTTCAGTCGGTTGATGTAGACTTTGGGAATATTGTGTGCCATGGTTGCGTCTAGTAACTTCTGGACTGCCTCAGAGGCCGCTTTCACCTCCTCTTCCTCCTCCTCGCCGGGCTCGACTCGCGTTGTTTTGACACGGAATGGATACAGCTGGTACTGAATCAAGCACGGCTGCTTCACATCGCCCCCGGCCGAGTCCACGGAGAACATGACCTCGCGTGCCAAACTCACGAACCCAGGCTGGGGTCCAGTGCGCACAAAATGAAAGCCCTCTTGAATGCGCAGATTCATGAGAGTGAAGAACATCTTCGTTACACAGTTGGGCGACTTGGAGACTATTGGTGCGACCCAGATGCAACCAGAATTGCAGAGATGTTGTCTGAGAAGAGCTGGAGCTACTTCGCACCTCGCTTCCGTGACAGTTCCCTTGACAAAGTAGGACTTGACAGATGGAAAATTGGAAGAGGTTGATGGAGCAGATGAACGGAAGTTCACATGGTAGCGTGGACTCATCCAGGTACCGTTTTCCACGATAAGACGATCCAACTGGGAGACGAAGACCATGCAACACGGGGTCTCGCCCCACGTCCGCTGAAGGGGCGGCACATGGACTGCCTCGTTATTATTGAGGGGAAGGTGGGGCGGCTGGCACGTACCCGACTTGTGACGCGACTTCGGAACCGCCTGTCTTCCACGCGGAAGGAAACTCAGCATTCGGAAACGGAGGGAAAGTTGCTCAAGTGTGGCACGACGGAAATCTGATTGGACTCCCGCGGTGAAAGCGACACGGACTCGAACCTCGGGCAACTTCAATTCGAGGCGGACCAACGTAAAGTAACAGGGTACGGAGTCGCTGTCATAGCCCAGGTTCTCAGATTTAACATCGGAACTCGAGGCATCTTCTGTGGAGCTCTTGTTGAGATACTCCAACCGGATGTACGTGTGGTTTTCTAACAGCACGAATGTGCACCAGTCGCTAAGCATGCTGTGGATACGGGTGAGTGATTGCCTGCAAGTGAGCACGTCAGTCACACGACGACTCTGGACGGGAATAAAGAGATTTGACGGTAGAGGGGAATCGTGTTCAAGAACGACGTAGATGGACTCGGTGTGCATCCACCGATAGCAGTTGGTGATATCCAGCGTCAAAAGACGTCCCCAGTAGTGCACAAATGTTGACAGTGCCCTGTCCCGTTCCATCTCGTCGGCCATGTTGCCAGAAAGGTAAATCTCTAGGCTACCGCTGGCACCTTGCGCAGTGATAAACACGGAACAGAGACCGTTTTTGTAGCGCAATGGCACTGTGTAGATGTCTGGGTTCAGATTGAAAGAAGACACATTTTCAAGGTAATCGTCAACGTGATTTAGCAAGCGGAAGTGAAAGTCGAATCGTTCTAGTGTTGAGGTCAGATAGACACTATTTGACTGATCGCGGCGCGTGTGCGTAACTCCATGCAGGAAGGAGGAGTTGGCGCGAACTCGAACGTTTGCAATGCAGTAGCAGCCCCTACGACTCAGTGTAGAAGCCGATCGGTTTTTAGTCGTTTGATTGGCTGGAAGGAGGGTGTAGTCAGTTGATGAGGACACAGGCAGATGACCCGTAGGCAAAAACCAATCTCCAGCTAAGAAAAGACGAAACACAACTCCCGGCTTCCAGGCAAGCGCCAGTTCGATTTGGATCCATGTGGCGGACTTCTTCGACGGAAATTCAACTGCGACCTGATGTTGGTCATCTTTCGGGCCAATTTGAGGTGGCGGCGATGACGACGACCCACGGTTAGGCACAGACACGGAGCGCAAACGATAACCGTCCTTGAGGCGAGATGCAAGAACATGAGTAAGCGCGGCATGAACAACGCGTGAGTAGGGATAAATTTCATTGAAGGCCACCCAACCAAGGTCACCCTCCTTCTCCGGTGTGCTGTCAACGTCGTCCTGAAGTCGAAGGGCCAGAAAGAGCTCGTGTATTTTGTTCCACTTGTCCGACGCCGCAGTCGACAAATCATCCCAGGTGCTAGGGGAGTTCGTCAAGCAGAAGCCAGCAGTGGCATGGGCTATAAACTGACACAGATCCAAGTGGGCAATACACGGACTGGCGGACATTGAATACAGCAATTCATCAGGTGAGGTTCCGTGAGAGTTGATGTTTGGTATGATGAAGGAGCATCGGATAGACGCCGCTCTTAGGTGAGCGAGGCTCAAGTCGAGTTCAGACATGTCGACGGTGGTGAAGCAGCCATCGGAAATGATTACCAAGGAAGCGGGCGCCCAGTCGGGCATCTTCATTGCCAAGGTCAATACGCCATGTCTAAGCATATCCACAAGAGGAGAACCAGTCGCAGGTTTGTCATGTCCAGCCTGGCCGGTAAGCAAGTCAGCGGTCTCAAGGTCAAACAGACGTTGAGCTACAATCGTTATAATCTCCTTGATGTCTTCATGCGAAGCCTCCCAGTCGTGAATGATTGTGAAAGACTGCCGATTAGGCACAACACCGACTATACTGATGAAAATCGATAGTGGACTGAGGAAACACCCTGGGATTGGCAGTTCCACACTGGCGGAGACTGGAATTAATTTCTGCAGGGTTGCCTCGATGCTACTCACGGCGTGATGGAGGACGGAGAAGCCCGATGCACACGGCTGGAGCATGGACTCGCTCAGGTCTATAACAAGGGCGATGCGGTAGGTGTGGGCGAGGTACTTTACAGTGGTCTGTGGATGGATTGTGTAGATCAGGGGGAAGGACAACTCGCTGGTTAGGTTATCTCTTGGCGGACTGGGAGATGCCGCCACAAGGGTAAGGCTGTTCCAGTCGGCCGAGGCGCCATCTTCATCCTCGTCCACGATCTCGCCCGCAGCGCCGCTCTCTGCGAACACAATTCGACGGTTTACATTCCCGATGAACCACTCAACGCGGGTGTTGTGGGAGACCTTCTGACCATGTTTAGCGAGAATGTAGACGGTATCTGCGGCAACTGCATGGCTAACAGCAGCATCCAGCGCCATGACTCCATCTACAAAGTAAACAGCGACTAGTAAGCAGACGAGGCAGCAAACACACGATACATGACCCACTGCATATGCTTGTGCAGTCCAAATTTGTCTAGTCTTCCTAACGTTGTTCAGGACTGTGTAGTACAAAACATTTGCTGTGGTTTTGCGTACAAATAGAGGTGAGTGCATAGAGGGACACAACTTATGTGTTGAAAGAAATGCGGAAAGAGTTGGAAAAAGATATCGAATTTGGAAAAGAGAGCTTAGACCTTATAAAGGGAAAAGCTAACAAGTGAGTGAAGCTTTCCACTGAATCCTTTATGCTATTTCAGGATCGGTACTCAGTTATACTCTACTAGAATAAAACCAACGAGATACAAAAATGCACTTTGAAACGCACACCAGGCCTTCTTGTCGAAAAGGCAGGCACTTCTAAAAGGAACGACTACTTGTTACCAAATAAGATAGCATCGCTCGTTATGAAAAGCAAAGGTTTTTTTGTCTTGTAGGGGATGCTAGGGATGATGAGGTGTTCGCTTTCCTCATTTGAGATTACGAGTTCTTGCCTAATATTACGCTAGTAAACATAAACTGTTTTAAATAATAAAAAAAACTACAAATACTAAGGGGTGTGTTCATTTGAAAGTTTGGATAAATCAACACACTCTTAATAATACGCAGAAACTATCGAGAACTCGACTGTTTCAATCACAGGGTTATAAGTAGAAAACACACATTCACAAATTTGGCTTTCTAAAAACCTTGCATAGACCTTTAAAAACATATTTTTGATAAAAACGCTATAAAGTGTTGTGGTAAATATACAAATACACGATATTTCATTAAAAAAATCATTTTGACTTTTTTCTTTACAAATACCTCAAAAAGTGCTTAGAAAATTCAAGGCGAAGCAAAGAAAGGCTAATTTAAGGACGAACGAAATTCAACGGTTATTATTTTGCTCAATGAAATCACACATGACCTAACGGAGACATTTAGTAAAATATATGCATTGCCAATTTTATTTACTAGTAGCAAAAACTATTTTTATTACCTGGCTTACCACGTTATGTTGATAATAGGGACAACTTCACCATAAAATTGCAAAACGTGTTTTGGATTTGAACATTCGAATATGCCTAGATCACGCTACGCATGTGGAAAAAAATTAACCCAATTTAGAGGTGCGGTCTAAATGTACTTTATTTTATAAAAAAATATGCTAAAGATTGACAAAAAAGTAAATACTTAAAATCAGGGAAAAACAGGCTATAAACTTACTGATGGCTAGTCAGATTAAAAATCGCGTGATGCGAGTCAATGAATCGAAAACGTCCTTTAGTATCATTATGGATTGAAAATAATTTCTGATGATTTATAATCAAAAATGCTAAGTATCAGATAAATTATATGTTATTCATATTTATATTTATCTGATATTCATATTTTAGTCATTGTTTGACGCAAAAAAATACAGAAGTAAGATAAAAGGTTTTTAAAAAAGAAAGAATTAGCAAGTTTGTGATGAGCAGCCCAGTTCATAACTTGGGATAGTCCTCATCTATATTTTGTAATGTCACATTTTTCGTCCCGTATAAGCAATTTGACCTAACAGCAATAATTTCCTTGAAGAATTTCGTTTGCTCATATTTGATTTCACCCAGATCTTTCGGTTTTTGACCAAAATTAGGTTGTTTGTAACATGATTCATTGTTTTTGTATTATAAATCTAAAGACCTGAATACAAAATTTAATACAGGTTCAGGAAGCTTATAATGTGTAATTTGGCCTAGATCCAGCAAAGTACATGCAAGGAAAAATTTACGCGTATAGGATTTGCATAAGAAAGGCTGCAGATGAATTTTGTACAAGCATATATAAAGCTATTTAGGTTTCATTTGTATGCTTGCAAAACACTCTGAAGCGAAACAATATATTATACCTGGGCAAAATAACAGCTAGTCAGGTAAACATTTGCTGTCATTAGCATCAATTGTGAATTTTGATGCGAATGACGAAGGCGTGGAAATGGATTTGCGCGAACTTGAGGACAGGGTTGAGTAAATAGAATTGTAATGCTGATACCTTAACACTACTGTATTTGAGATTGTGAGTAGTAGTAAAAAATGCACCTCATATATTTTGTTACAACGACTGTCACGAAAACAATGTCTGCTGCTTTCATTTTTATTAGAAAAAACTTGAGCTATATGGGTAGTTAGTATGAACAATCCATCTCGAAATAAATTTCACTGTATATTGAAGTAAATGTCCTAAACACAACTAGAGCAATTTCGAAATTACAATTTGCTTAACAATTTCGCACAAATTAATTTTTTATGCAGCCGAAATATAACAAATTTTCCGAACACTTTAACTTCGTCCATCACATTGACTTCAAAATTAATCACCATATAAAATTCAGACTTGAACTTGGGACCTACATGATATGGTCAGCATAAAACTACAAAAGGGTTTGAAATATCACCAATTTGTTGTTTACCTTGTCAGTTTCGGAGGAGTGGGAAAATAATCACTCCTTTATAAAAGACGTGAATTTAAAATGGAAAAAATTGGGTCCTGTTAACTGTGTTAGTGCCTGCAGTCCATACAAAAGTCATTTGCGTTGTCTGGTTACTGCTTCTCGTTTTGAATTTCTTTCAAAACGCGAAATAGAGAACGGAATATTATTTCTGCCGCAAAATTCGTTTAACGAACCTGATATTAATAAAGTGTCCCTAAATAATAAAAACCAGAGCATTAAACAGAGTTGTGAAAAACAAAAGCGCGTATTATGGCAATTATAAAAGCACACTAAGGCGGTTAGACCAAGTTAAAAGCCACTAGGCATAAACGAATTGCATTATAATGATAAAGGATGTGATTGGAATTGTTAAATATTTGGCTAGCTTTCTAATTACTACCCCTTGAGAGAAGTTAAATAACAGTTAAATGAATTCAAAAGTCGACAACAATAAAGTTTAGTGCCATTACTAGTTTGGGTATAAAACTTATTACCATCAGAAAATAACAGTCGTTATTTAACTTCATTTGAAATATCCCGCTTTAACCAATTTTTTGTAGTCGGTTCTAAAGAATGGGTGGGTCGTCCTCGGAGTGGGCGATCCCATCAGATAACATAAAGAAGTATGAAAGTATGTTCGAAAGCATGGAACGATGTTCGGACAAAGTTTCTGGGGAAGTGATGAAAAAGGTGATTCTACTTTTTTGCTGTGCGTTCATATTAATGACAATTTATTTAAATTAATACTTTGCCCACTGGGAGCGTTCTCCTTCCTTAATAACCAGAATATTTATGTGGGGCCTTTGGTGGTTATTTCAAAGCAAAGTGAACGTTCTTAATGATTTTGCCAATTTGGAGATGTAGGAGCCTGTTGACTGTAGTGCCTTTTTCTGTACTGTCGTATATGCATATTACATGTATTTCGGGATGTCAACACGTGACTCGTTCACTGCGTTTGCCCTTTACGTAAATCGGAAAGTCTGCAGGCCATAATCGCAGTTTCTTTGTCATGTCACTCTTTTCACATCTGACTTCTCTTTGCGCTTAACTTGAATTCGCAGTTTCTTCATGACACTAAACTCCCCGTCGAGATTCTTCGAGCGATATGGGATCTCTCCGATCTTGACAAGGATGGTTTCTTGGACCGATTCGAGTTTATCCTAGTAAGAATGTCCTTGATTTCCTTCCTTTTTTCAATTTGTAAACACAGTTCATACTCATGTTAGACCATACAACACTTGTGTTTTATTATTGCGCGCTTTCAGACGATGCATCTGGTGTGCCATTGTCTAGAAGGCCGCCCTCTTCCTCAAACTCTGCCATTGGATCTCGTACCACCAAACAAGCGTGGTGGTGCTTCAGAGCCTTTAGCTCTTATGCCTCCTTCTTCCCTCTCCGACCATGGAATAGTTTCTCTGTCCCAGGCTTCACCCCTATTCGTGAGTTTCTGTCTCGCTCGGGCTTTTCAATCATTTCTATTCATTATTGAATTGCAGCGGTGCACCACAGACAACCCTAAAAATCCTGCTCTTTTGTTTAAGGCCACGCACGTTTCCCAAGGCTTTCCGGAAGGCCAGCCTCCGCCACAGACGCTTGAGTGGGCAGTCCCCAAGGCCCTGCAAGCTCAGATCGCCCCCGTTTTCCTCTCAATGGACAAAGACGTCGATGGTCTAGTAGCGGGTGCCGACGTTCACGACTTCTTCGTTAACTCGAGCCTTCCGCAGGCCGTCCTTGCGCGCATCTGGGACCTCGTCGATCTACAGCACAATGGACTTTTGAATCAGTACGTCCTAAGTTAATGCTATACGATGCTTGGTTTTGCGTAGTCAAAGTCATGTCTGTTTGTAACTGTGTCCTTATGCCTACACTTGATTCCTAATTTTCTTGCTTCGAGTATCCTTTCATGAAGGATGCGAACTGCATTAATAAATGTCTAAAAGGCTATGTGTGGCTACCGGAAATCATTATATCCAGCCAATCACCTCTTTTATTCATTGTTTGGGGCCTCTTCGGTTCACGAATAGCCTTCATTAAGTAAATGAACCGTAGTGTTGTTTTGATCGGCATTGTTTTACTCCGGTTTTTAATTCCTTTGCACCGACTTTTTTTAACATTTACAAATTCCTCACACTGCTCTATCTACCTTTCGCTTCCGTTTCGCCAAATTCGGCTATTACAGTCCTCACTTAGTTTTCAATTACTCTCCTGGGATTCGCATGACTATCCGAGTCATCAGATTGTGAGAATGGAGAACCTTTTGAACCCGTTGTTTCTGTGGTCATGCCCATCTACTCTCATTTCTCCTTTCAAAATTTACACAAATCACTGTTTCTTGTCGCCAGTGACAATACACTGGAGGAGTCCTGGTTTGTCTACAAAGACTCCTGTTCCATACAAGCAAACTCACCGCAGTTTTCGAGCGCCGTTTTTAATTACCTTCCAATTCGAAATTGCCGCTGTAAAATTCATTTTCTTGTGCCTCTCTCTCATTAGCATTTCCTTCCCAGACCGCACAAATCCCATAAGCCCCTAATTATCACCGACGATTTTGTTCTTTAAACACGTGCCCCGGCTTGGCAAAAGTGGAGTTAGGAATAATGAGAGCGTAATGATCCTTGCCTCAATCCTAAGTGCACTTCGTGGTGGTGACCTTGTCTGCACAGCACTTTTCTCACCTCGTCACTCCGTTTTCAACAGGGAGCAATTCATCGTCGCGGTGCACTTGGCCAATGAGCAGATCGCCTCGAGATGTTCACGCGCACTCCCCGAGACCTTGCCGCCGGCCCTCATTCCTCCCAGCTTGCGACCCGTCACCCTCGAACCCTCCGAGTACGAGGAATCCAACAAACTCCTGGCTGAGATTGACAAACTCCGGAGGTGAGTCCACCAATTGTGTGGCGTTGACTTTAACTAAATTTCTTGTCACATAGGTTACCATTGACTCGCACTTTAAACGCCAAGAATAACATGTGAATCTGGTTATTGCGACTGCGGCGACTGCTCGTTTGTTTTTCTTTTTGCGCGCTGGCTTGGTAGGTAAGCGCGACACTGCGCTGCAGCCCTTTACCATGCCACGCGCACACAAACGCGCATTTTCGATTGACGATCGTGCTTTATGTGGTACACAGTGTGATTCGCAACTCGCTAATGCATTAACAGCCCTCTAATGCTTAACAAACTCAGCCCCCAGCCCAACGAAATTCCACATTCGACCCCAACAAACGTCTAACAAAGCCGGATTGTTAAGCGGAAGTTTAATTTACCCAAACAGCATCGTTTTACCTTTAAACGATGAGCAGTTCTTAAATTCTGGTGATATTTTTTGTGATTATGGCGCTCTGGTGATTATACTGTGCCACTTGTCGGAATAGGCAAAGCCGCTTGCTATGATGCCGGAACGAGAATTTGCACCAGTGAGGTTTGTGTGACGCAGTTAGTTGTTCTGTGAGTGGCGCCGTCATCATGAAGGCAAGGTAGACGCAAATTTGACGTCGAAATGGTGCAGTCTGGGTGTATTTGTGTCCTGGTTAGTGTCTTGCATTGTGTAGCGACCCGCTTGTTTACTGACTGACCTGACGATGTCAATGACTCATCCTTTCCTCATTGGTTACTGTTATCAGACGCCTGTCATCCGCATGCAGACACTTGGCTGGCGTGACGCCAATAAATCGTCGTATCCGCTGCCTCTGTCTTGTCCCTCTTCTTGAATTTGTAGGGACCGTTATCTAGATGTTTGTTAGGTATTGCTAGCACGCTACTACAACTGGTTGTTGCTGCTTCCTAACTCGTCTCCGCGATCGATACGTCGTCGTCGTCTTTCTCCTTACCCTGACCTTACTGTGTTCACCACCTTGTGATGACTCGCTTAGAGTCGGCTAATGTGTGATCGATAGAAGCATTTAAGACAATTTTGACGTCCAGTTGATACCATTAGGTCCACCGTTGTGTAAAACTCGTTTACACGTCAACCTTCGCAACTCATTGGTGATGACCTGGCTGGTTGTTGGAATCTGCTCCAACTTTCGCCACATCATCGCGCCTAATTAACTCGCTGAGTCAGCCGCTGTCACGTTTATAATAGGAAAAATCGTTGATTGGAGGCATGTAAATCGGCAAATTTGCCGCATCCACAACTCTCCTTCCATGTGCCATCCCGTACCTACGGTAACCTGTTCCCTTCAGACAACCGTGACCTTGAAATTTCTAGGTCGACTCCTCATTTGTTAGTCCTATCTAGTCATCTTGGTCATACTAATGCTTCGGCTGACTTTGCGAACTGGCTTTGTACTAGTTCAAACAGTCACCTCCAAATGTTATGTTCGTCTGATTCCTTGATGGCTCCAACGAGGTGGTCAATCAGAACCATAGGTCACTTACTGCCGCTAATGCTTTTAAATTTGATTTGATAATAGAGCAAAGAGACTACGTTGTGGCCATGTGCGGCTCTGTCAACTAAACCCCACAGTACCATCTTCAGGTCGTCTGTTAGAGCGAATGAATAGTCCATGCGAATCCAGCCAATCAGAGAGTTGGATGGGGCGCCACTTGCCGCAGTAATTGCCATCGTAGGAAATTCCATCGATTTTGACCAACGATGTCTTGCAACGCTCAGCCCGCTCGTCTCTTGATGACTTCATGATAAATGTTATCCCACCTGGCGAACACATGACAAAAAACCACTGTTCTTTTTCGTCATCTGTTGCGCACAAGTGAAGGAGTCAGCTATCTGCGCCGCCGCCTTTTCGCATCGCGCACAGTTGTTATGTCTACTATCCGCTAAAGCACCTCTCACCCACGAGTGAATAGTAGTAGTGGCGCACAAACATTGTAACTGCCCCACCGAACATCGCATTCTCGCAGACATTTGTTTTGTGTGTATATACTTTACCAGAGAGCGCCTCTGTGTGGAGGCAGAGTCAGCAAGACTGACAACCGACGCGAACCAGCGCTCCACAGAGGTGTCGAAGTTGCAGGCGGCGGAGGAGACCCTCCTCCAGACCTCGCAGACCCTGGCCAGCCAGCGCACCCGGGCTGAGCGCTACGTCGCCGATCTCATCGAACGACGCACCCTCCTCCAGAGCCAGATGTCCGAGGTCGCCAACAAGGTGAAGGAGCAACAGGCCAGTGTTGAAGCCCTCCGCGGACAAGTCACCAATCAGCAAATCTCTATCAGGGTAAGTCGTTTTTATATGTAATTTTCCTAAATTGCCATTGGTGCGGAAGCAAATACCTAATTTTATTGGTTATGAAGAGCATGACCATACGTCTATGCCATTTTTAGACACAAGAAGAAGAGGTAGCTCAGCTGCGCAGCGCAATTACTGATCGTAAGCGAGAGGAAACGGGTCTTTTACAGCAGATCGCCGAACGACGCACACGTGTTGAGGCTGTGGAAACTGAGAACAGGTCCATCTCCGATCGTAATGATCAGGTGGCTCATTCTTATGTCCCACTTAACCCATTGGTTGACATCCTGGCGGCGTTTTCAATAAATTCCCACTGTTCTACGACTCACCAACACCGTCGAGGGCTCCCTCGAACACGGTCTACTGAATACGATGTTGAAATTTTTATTTGCTCTATTTCAGGAGTCAAAGAGGATAGCTAGTCTGGAGTTGGTGCGTGAGCAACTGCTTCAAGCACTGGATCAGTACGCGAAGCTCCTGGCTGGAGACACCTCCGTCACCGAACCCGATGATGAACACATCCAGAAACTCGTAAGTTGGTGAAGGCGCCAAATTTACTCGAGTTTTTTATCATACCATGTGACTCCTTGTGTGCTCTTGGGGATGTCGATCCCTTAACATTGCCTGTGCATCAACCGCTAAAGCACATGTCTATCGACGTCAGAAGTCGTGGACCCTGGCCAGTCAGCACACCCGGTGTGAGCACTACGTCGCCGGCCTCGTTCACCGCCACACCCTCCTCCAGAGCCAGATGTTCGGTCGCCAACAGAGTGAGGGAGCCCCAGACCGGTGTTGTTGCTTATGATGATGATGGTGATAATGTCTAGGTTTGTTTCAAAGACCGTGGAATCATCATGAAAACAGATTGTGACCACTGGATGAGTACGTAGTACGTGACCAATGCATATCCACCGAGGTTGGGTTCGTAAATAGCGTACCAAGTCGCCGAGTTCTTCGTTCACTTTATTAATTTCCGTCTGTTGGTGTGACTGGACTTGAACATGCAAGATGTGGGCAACAACCATGCACACAAAGGCAGAACATCGCAGTTCAACCTCTCAAAATGTCACACAGGGCGAATCGGGTTTCAGGAGTAGAATTTCAAAGGCATGAATAACGAGTCACGTGGAACTACTTGTACGATCTTAACGAAGGACCACAAATTCGTTGGTTGCGAAGACGTGCGGACGGAGCCCTTGGCTTCAGCAGACTTAACCATGACGGCCTTCATTAAATCGGTGCTTGAAATAGATGAAATGCACTTTTGTCTAACTGTAGTGGCCGTTGCATTGAGCACCACGACCAGTCACCGCTATTCCTCCACGCCGAAATGTCGTCTTCACGCCAATGAAACCACAAACGCCATCGTCTCTATCACGATAACTTACAACCAGAATCAACCTAGTGTCTTGGCTGATTGCCAGTGTTCGTAGAAGACGTATGCACTTTTGACTGTAAAGCTGTTTCTATCGTAATCATCTTTGTGTGTCTTGAGTCACCTCGACCTTGAAAACGTGGATTATCAGTAAATTTGTGTGGAGGCTTAGCATACAGAGTGACAAATGAAAGGTCATCGTTTCGTCATGTTGTAGTTGTGAAGAAGAGTAGCAACTGTTGGATCCTCAATAAAATTAGTAAATTCGTTCACTAAACTAGTGTTCCCGCTCTTCGGGTAGTTTAAAAATGGTTTTCTTGACCTCGTTCTGAGCAACTAATCTGCGCTTTTCCTCTGAAGTTTGTGCTGTTAGGCAATATGGTGATAATTTGACTGCATTCCACAAGCTGGAAGCACTTGGATCGTCTTCGAAACGCCACTTTTAACTAACTGAGCCGTTCTACAGTCTCTGGCAAAGCGAACCTTTCTTGCATCAGGTCATAATTGGAAATTAGGAATGATTCATGCTGAATCCTGGAAGTAAAAGAGCATCGGAAGAAATTTTCATCGTGTCTAATGAGTGGATTCCGCTTTGCCAGACACTAACCTCGGAGACGTACTACAACCAACTCATCCAGCTCAATGTCGAAATCCAAGCTAAGCACGTCAAAGCAGTCAATTGGAACGGCTTCATCTATCACCGTGCTAACACCGCACCACAAATTGCCAAATTGACATTACGGACTCCGACAATACCCGCCTTATTCGCCTGACCTTGTTTCTCCACACCTTCGTACATGTCGCTTTTTGCTGGATAATTTAAGTGACAACCATTCGGTTCAGTGGAAGCCGTTGGCGGTTACCTTTGGACAGTCATAGAACATAATTTCGAGTGCATTATGAATTGACAAGCGCGTTGTACTTGATCGCATTCTGTTTGATATCGGGCACGACATTTCGCAATCACCGGATGCCTTGTAGCTTCAGTCTGTTGGATTGCGCAGAATTTGGTGTGAGTGTCAAAACACACCACCCCTTCTGGTTGCATTTGTCACCGCCGCAACAGCTTCACAGATTGTCTCGTTTTGGGACTGTTAGTTGACTATTCGAACCAGTTGTGCCCTCAGTTCAATTAGTAGAAAGAGTAGATGAGTCACTCGAACTGGTCGCAGTGGTCGCGCCCTCAGGAGCACATGCTCAATTTGTGTTTAACCGAGTGTGCAGATCCTAAGAACTGCAATGATCGATTGCGAAACCTCAAGACCATTGGCCCACCTCACTTACTGACCATCCAAACTAGTGGGGTTCTGTCTGTGGGATATTTGTGACCGACTAGCAGGCCGGCAACCATTGATGGTTCTCAAGTCGCCAAAAACGACCTTGTCTGCGTATCAAATGTTCATTCGGGTTAACTTATTTTGCTGTGCATTTCTCGAAATTTTTGGCTTGAGAGCTTCAGATGGCGTCTTTTTCGTAAAGCTTATCACCTCGAATCACATTCATGATCTTTTCCGACGCATGTCTAGTTACCTTGGCAATCCACTCTTCCCAGCAACTCCCGTGTCTGTACCATCACCTCTGCCTCCATGTCTGCGACTGGTGCTTACTCACGACACAACACGCATGAGTTAAGGCCTCCACCAGAGGAGTGTCTTTGGTGTTCTAAACGTCCGTGAGATCGCACATCCCATGGTACTCACCCTTAACACTTTCGGCAGTCTCCGAACTGGTGGCGAGCAATTTCCCACAACAAGTCGTTCCACGCTCTCACCCGTATTGGGGTATTGAGGTGGTTGTGTATTAACTAAGTACCTAAATCTGTTAACCGTTTGCGACCACTTTCAGACCCTGGCGACGGCGCGTGAGGAGCGTGTGGACCCCAGCCAACCCGGCGCCTCGATGCAGCCACTCTTTCAGATGAACGCCAATGAGAATTTCGGGGCGTTTCCATCTTCCACGGCCTTCCCGCCGCCGAATTCCGCCTTCCCTGCCGCCCCCAACAAGAATGGTTCCTCCGTCTTCGGAGCCGACCCCTTTGACCCTGGTCAGTTCAGAGTGTTTGAGTTCTGTTCGCACGTTAACCGCCATCTTTCGCGTCCATCGTTTGTTTGACTGCAAATCGGTCAGCATCTAGCGCCCGTTATCAAACCATGAAACGTACGATTTCTGTGTGGTCAGTTGACTGCCATGGCGTAATTCGCTTATTTTTCGTTCTTGTGATGCAGACGGGGAGGAGTCTGCGAATGCTTCCTTTATGTCTCTCTCTCTCTATCGGTCTCATCAAGTTTCAGCTCTCGTGTCTTGGTGTGACGTAATTTGCGTAGTTTTTTATTGCATTTTATTCTTGCTGCACCTCACAAATCGTCCGCTTTAACTCTACCAAGTAGCCGGGTCGGTTAAAGTCGTCAAAATGAGGCTTTAGCGGCGAACCTGCGGGTATGTCGCTGTGATTTGCGTGTTTTTCCATGGCCTGATTTGATGGTGCAAATCCAATGCAGCAGTTGATTTCTGAACTGACAAGGTGGCCAGAATCCTTGTGGCCAGTCTCAATTTTGGTGGAGGGGGACTTGGACTTGCCTTGAGCCAGATGGCTTTTTTCCCAACAGACTATGGCTTTTCGCGAACGCCCACGCGGATGTGCCAGCAGTCTATGTGCTTGGCACACGAGTGAGTGCACTGCTGGTGCCGCCTTCTTCCGACTTTCTCGTACAACTTATTAGCAACAAGCATTTCATCGCTACTTGCACGAGAAGTGGATGGTACGTCCAGGAAGAGAAACACGTTTAATACAACGAGTTGCAGCACTACGCATGTTTGTCGAAGCCTGGTGTTAACAGGTACACATTTGCTTCAACAGTGTCTTCGAGAAGCAAAGCTGGTTTGTCCTTAGACCTCGTGATTTGATGGGCCAATTACTTCCCATGCAAACCACGTGTTAGTTCATTTGCTTACGCGTTTCCCTAGTATGTGAATGCACCATATTTGGAAGATGCGTTTTTGGCTTTACCACTGATTTGCTCAGAATTTTAGCATGGTCTATCTGACAAAATTCTGCCAGCCTATCCCATTTTCGCGTATTCGAGACCCATCCAAGTTCATTTGTTGGTTTCTGCGAGCATTGACACTTTTCAGGCTACCTTAGAATGACGCTGTAAATGTGCCCAGCCAATCACCGTATTGCTGGTCCGCGGGTCATTGAGACACTACCATCAATGCATCGTTTGCAGTTTCTGTTGATGCCTTTGGCTTCGGTACAGGACCGGCCTCGTTTTCCTACAGTCCCCACCACCTAGACCCATTTGTGCCTGTCCCGCAGAAGTCTCCAGAACCATTTAGCCCGCAGCTCAGTTTGAATGGTTTTCTAGGAATCGAGATAATGGGGCTAATGATGATGTTGATGATGGGCGCATTGAGCAAACTTCGATATCATAATCATTGTTTTTGGGTTGGTTTGCAAGATGAAATTGAAATTCGTTCGAGTTCCTGCCCTCAACGTCATGTCGTTCAGTGGTGGTTGCGTATTTCCATGTCGAATTGCCTCGTAACTCCAATTTCAGTCAAAACAGGGTGCTTGCCGAGTCATGCGCGATAATATTACTGACATTTGTGCAAACTAGTACCACTGTGTAGAAGTGAATGTGCCACCTCGTGCTGCCAGAGCACCACTTCATCCCGTGGCAGCTAGGTCCTCGTCATGGTCGACTATTTCACCAAGTGGACAATGCACTACCTCTCCAGAAGCCGTATCTGTTGCAAATTCGTACCTTTCCTGTCGCTTCTGGAATTGTGCGACGTGCCAGTTGTGCATAGGCGCCGCATCACTGTCTGTCAAACACAAGGCAATGACCAGGTAGAGGGGACAAATCAGGCTCTCGTGATGCTTCTGCAGTTGCATCTTGATACCAATGGGCTTAACTAGTGTGTCTGCTGGCGTATGGGTCTGCCGTATACCCAAATGCGCTCTTAACCGTTGTTGAATTGACCTTCGATCATGCGTTACGTCCGCCACGGGAGGTCGCGTGCAGTTGAATGTCCGATTGTGTAACAGACTTACGACGACAAAGCTGTCATTTTTTGAGACAGCCGCCTCGCAAATATGTGTAGCTCAGTGTCGAGTGAGAGGTGAAGAAGTTGTAGCACTTGTGGAGGGCCATACATGATTGATTCCGTTCTCAGTGAGGCCACGTGCGTAATTCGTAGTCTCGAGGGTTACCAGAGACAAGGTTTGACAGTCCAATCTGGCAACCTCAAGCCATGTCTAGCAGAATCGAAGGGAGACAGGAAAACGCCGTTATGTAATGCGTACCACTCTCAGTAGACAGCGCTGTTGAGATGGCAACTGTGGGGGTTAAGAAGAAGCTGTCAACCGCTCTGGCCTTGAAGTGGCGGGGGCAATGTAACTGCTAGACAGGCATGCTAACCCTCTAGCTGTGACCTTGAAGAAGAGAGAGGCAGGCTAACTAACGCAGTTGTGTAATGAAATGAATTCTATTGTGCTTAAGAAAAGAATATTACACCAAATTAATGTAAGAAAATGTTGATTCGGTTTGTTTTGGAATAAAACCCACAAAACGATGAATTTGCGATTGGTGAATTGCCGTCGCAGTGATAACTAAATATGTAGCGATCCTAAATTTTTTTTCTTACTTTGATTGGTCGCGTCCAGTGTGCAAATGCGGAATGCGACATTTTTTTCAGTCAGACAGATTTCAATGCTTCTTAAGAAATCGCGCCACTTCCATCCTAGCAAGTCTGCACATTTCGCATACAAGCGAGCGCATGAATGTGAAGTAAATGTGAATACACTGGTCGTTATTAAACACTTGGGTGTTTCTGTTGCTCGCTGTCGCCATCCGCGTGAGGAGTGGGCGGTACTTATAGCAAGAAATAGACACATGCTTGTCGAAGCCTAGCGGTTAATAGACACGCAGTTAAAAACCTGGTCACACGTATTTACCATTATCTTACTTGCTTGCCAAGTGTGTATGTGGGTTACTGGTTTGGAAACTGCGTGTTTCGCTTTATCGTCGGGTCGCCCAGAAACCACGGCCCAACCCTTCGCCCGAAATTTTCATTGGCGTTCACCTTCGCACGACACGGTGTCTGTTTCTGGAAAAGTTGCGTTAGAGATGGTGCCGAAACTGTACAGTAGCCAATCACGGCTCGTTACATCTGTTGTAGGTTCTGGCGACGCCTTCGGCTTCGGCACACAGCCCGCCAACTTCGCCACCGCATCGTCTTCCCACGACCTGGATCCCTTCGTGCCTGTCCAGCAGAACTCACCCGATCCCTTTAGCCCGCAGCTCAAGGGTACGTGCTCTCCCCCCAAAGCACTTTGACTGTTTCCCTAAAGTTAGTGACGACTAGCATGCTGGACGCAATGCGTAAAATTCGGTGTCGTAGTGGTCTTTGTGGCGCTCTCTCCGAGATAAAAGTGACCTTTTTCCAACTTGCCATCCCACAGTGTCACGCTATTTCTTGTTGGTAGCATATTTCCCTATTGAATTGACTGGCTGCTTCCATTTCAGCCAAAACTTGATCCTTCCCTAGTCAAACAAGTCTTCCAGAACGGAATTAGTCGCAATTGGTTGAAATCCAGCCCTAGCCTTATTGGGCTCCATTACGCCATACGTACTTCATGGCATCATTGTCATGTGGAAACTCGCAAGACATTTGCTGCGCATGGTAAAAACTTTCACCGCACTATAGCCGCCCTCATTGGTCATTGTACACTCAGCTTCTTTCAGACCGTCACGATTATCCATCCTAAGGTCAAAATGTGCTTGTTTTTGAGATGTTGTGACGGAAATTAAGGGTTCCAAGCAAGACTTTGAAACCACATCCACCGACGTCCAACAACGTCCTGGCGCACACCAAGCTGATGTCATGCGGTACACGCCAAGATGCCTCCCCAATCATCGAGGTCTGTGCGAAGCCCCACGACCCACGCATCAACAGGATAACGTGTTTCGTCACACCGTTTTCTTGTTCACCAAAGCGTGCAGCATCGCTCCCTGTTGGTCGACACTGCCTCCCGCCCTGATGGCTTGCACGTGACGGCTTCCAGCAGTTTGGCTGGTTGCGTGTAGGAATTACTGCCAAAAGTAGTAGTTCAAGGTGATGAGGATGAGCGCGACTAGGGTGCATTGTGACAGCACTCCAATGCTCCCTGGTGCCTGTTCACGACGACATCGTCGTGACCAGTGGTCGGTCGTGATGGCAGAACGAGTTGCTCTCGTCACCTTCAAGGAAAAACTCGCAAACTGACGCGCAATCCATGGATGGCTAACGGGGGATTGCGCTGAGTTTCCACTCAAAGCCCCGCAACAGAAACCACACACCGATCGCCAGTGCAACGCTCTCCCTGTCTGGCACTCTGTCAAGTGATAAGAACTACCTGTCGCAGTCAGGAAGCGTGAAACCCGGTGCTTAATCGGTGCATGCGTTGCTGAAGCCAAAGGCCCCGTCCGTTCGTCTTCGCAACCAACCGACGCATGGCGCTACATCTAGATTGCACAAGTAGCTCCTCGTGATTCGTTGTTCTTGCTAGGAAGCGTGAAACCGAATCGACCTCTTTCTCACCATCGTCCGCTGTTTTTCAAATTCGTTTCAGAGCACGATTTTATTGTTCTTTCGACGTACTCACCCTGGTAGCCCCACTTGGTTTGAATAGCACAAATCTATCTAATCCCAGGACTATCAACTATATACTAAGTCGTCAATCCGCTGAAGGTCTTGTTCACACTTGTTACCAAATCTCTTCGCGATGGTGCAAGTTCGGAGCTGTGTTGTTTGGCACGTAATTTGCCTTCCCAACCGAAGGAAGTTGTCCTTTCCTGTGGGCGGCAGTCCTTCATTGTCTCTGTGACACGTGATTACTGTTTGATTTGCCAGATCTTAGCGCTTCTCATTGGCTGCTTCCCAGTCCATTTTATGTATCTCCTTGCACTACGGCACCTTTGGGTTTCCATTGTTCGTGGCGTCCTAGTTTTCGGCATTGAAATTCCGTGCTTCTCAACATTAAACCATTCTTCCATGTCGAGCACTCTAGAGTGATGGCGTCACATAAGCCTTCACTTTCGATATTCAACACATTCGTAAACCTGAAGACTGATCGATTGTTTGCGTGTTTTTATTTATTGCCTTTTGGTCTTGTCTTTTTGGAGTGAGTAATTGGGTTCGCTAGCACCCCGTTCTGTCAATTATCATTTCAGGTTCTTCCGACCATCATTCCAAGTCCTCCTTCGACTCCAACAAGTTTGACGCTGTAAGTCCACTTACCAAACGCACTGCAATTCGTTCATAGTTATGACTTGGTTTGTTGCCTCTGGAAAATTTCTTTAGCTCTCTGGAAGTTTACTGTTTAGGCCCACTACGTTAGTTCCGCTCTGCTCTCAACTGTCAGAACGCTTCACTCGTCTACTTACGGTCTGATTATGCTCGCGTTTTTCCGCGTAGGTCTTCGGTAGCGCGCCAACAGAGAGCACGCCGTTCTCGTCCAACGCGTCGAGCAACAGCAAGAAGGTTCCTCCACCGCGTCCCGCCACCCAGCCCAACGTCAGCAAACATGTGAGTCCGCGCGCTACTTACAACCAATCAGTACTGTCTAAGTTTGTGCGACGATTGGCTGCTTCCTCATAAGACCCATTTTCTTCCCCCTTGATGCACACGTGCAATGTGTCGTGTCACGGCCTGTGGTTGTAAATCCTGGGTGTAGAAACATTGGTAGTTTGGACCTTCAAATTTGATTGGCCCAATTTAGGATTGACCAATTGCATTGCCAGAATTTTAGAGAGCCTAGCGATTGCGGCTTGTTTCTTTCATCTAGAGAGGCAGTCACACGGATGGCGCTGCACGTCAAAATGACTCTCCGAAAGGCAAACTTCGCGGAGTCTTCGGCAAAGCTGGTGGCGGCGGTGCTGGTAAGTCCTTGTTGACGCGTTCCACGAGTTCCAATCACAGCGGTCAAGGTGGCGCCGGGCATCACGTAATGTCGGAGGAGGAGCAGCTGAGGTGGGCCACCCTGGAGAGTCGGCGGTCGGCCGAGCAGGAGGAGATGCTGCGTGCGAAGGAGGAGGCCGATTTGGAACTGGCGCTTCGACTCTCTCGCTTGGAGTCCGGCACCTAGGTTATACCTCTCCTCGTTCCGCCTTTAAACTTGTCTTCTTTGCCCTTACCCTCTCTTTTATTCCACTCACGCTGCTCTTCTGTTGATCCTGTCTGATTTTTTGTCCTGCTGCAGCTTCGGTGATCACGCAGTCGTCGCAACGGAAACCCCCCTTAATCTCACGTGCTTCGGTGTCTGACACTATTGACTTACTGAAGTGACAAAATACAAAGAAATATACTCACTTTCTGTTCATTTTTACAATAAACAGTATTGTTGAGACTGACCGATGGTATATTTGCAAAAGTATTATTGTTCTCGTGATGTTTTACTCCGACGGAATTATGGTAAAGGAGCCCATGAGTTCAATCTTGAGACTCACGGCAAATGTGGAAATAATGTATACACCAGGTTCTTGTAATTCGTTACCAGTGCACCAAATTTCCATATTTGCGCCTTGTTGACTTAAGTCGAAATGAAAACCTACGCATAAATATATTCTCGCCTGGATTTCAAATCGCAGGTTAATGCAAGTTATATGAGCGCAGAACTTAAAATTCTGTTAATTAATGGTGTGGATGCATTTTGAAACATCGTGTTTAGGTTCGATTCTACTTTTATATCGGAGGAATCGGGCATAATGTACTAATGCCATACACTTAACTTTGTGACTAGGAAACGTTTATCTCCCAAGGGTTCTCAGGAATTTCGATCTGAATAAGCAGTTCAAATCTTATTTTACAATAATTCTTGCCCATATGGCCGTTTGAGTAAACGCGTAGGAAATCCCGTATCCATTGTTTTGTCCACATCCGTTGTTTCGGTAATGTTAGTGTACATAATAGGCATCACCGCGCCTGTGTGATTACAAGTCTGCTAATTAAACAGTTGGGAATGCCTATTATTTCAAAGAGTTGAAATTGCTACCTAAAATGATGGAGTAGCATGACCTAGAATTAATGTATCGACTCTCCGGACTGTTAAGCGGACAGAGTAAAAATAGATTAAAACTTAACTAAACAGGAAGTATTGAGGCGTGGTAAGTGTTGGCAAAAACTTTACGTGCTCTGCAATGAAGCGGGCCTTAGAAAAGTAGGTGCATTTGAATACGCTGACAAGTACGTGTCTTTCGTGCTTACAAGCCTAATGACAAGTTTGGAAAGAGCGCTCCTACTAATTGCGTCATTCCAACTAAAGATCATCTCCCTGCGTTTCACGTCACACAGTTCATTAGCTAAACGAAAGATTATAAACACTAAGATAAGGTCTTTAATTTGCTATAAAATGTGTTAGAGCTGTACAACCTTGGAGTTAAAATGCATTGATGTTCCAATTTTGTGTGTCAATAATTTATTACAAATAAAACAATTTATACATTATATTAAAGTTGACACAAAAACCATGAATAGAAAAGTACTTACTTTAAATTTTTTGAAATAAGTATCATTTTTGCATGCTGAATAATATGTCTGTCGATTAAATGTAGCGTGCTCCTTGTTTAGCTGAGCAAAATGGCGTTAAGGTTGTGTGCGGTGAGGTCCTTCGCTAGAGTCCTGTCTCTTTCAGGATGCGCATCAGTTCCCAGACCATTTTGTCGAACTTCTACTTTACTTCTTAATGTATATCAAAAGCCCATTAAATCACTGTGTGTTCGGGCATTCTCTACTGAGGTAAATAGGGCCGAAATTGAAGAACGTGTACTTAATGTGTGCAAGGCCTATGATCGGATCAATGCGGACAAGGTTTGCAAATTACATTAAAGCTAACATCCTACTCCTTAAAGTTAACGGTCCAATCAAATTTTATGAAAGATTTGGGTCTTGACAGTTTGGATCATATTGAACTCATTATGGCGATCGAAGACGAATTTGGTTAGTTTTTGTGGATATTAGATTTGATTTCCGTGCTCTTGGCTGAAATCGGGTTTCTTTCGCAGCCTGCCTTATTGATATGCTGTAATTTGCGTTTTTTATTAGGTTGGTATTTTTCCGATTTCCGGAATTTAGATGAATACGCTTCCTATGCTAAATCTCCGCAACAGCGTTTCAGCTTGCTTTTGTAATCTTTTGGTTTTTTTCCCGAGTTTTCACTTCTCCCTCCTAAATTCCTGCCTTGGTCTCTTGTGTATGTGTGGACAGTAGATCCCTTTCCTTTGCATTTCAGTTTGCTTTTTTAGTCTTGTCGGCTCTTTTTCCAAGTTTTGACTTCTCCTGAATTTCCGCATTGGTCTGTTTCGTGTGTATGTGTGGACAGTAGAATTTTATTTTCACCCTTGGGTTGAATTTTACAGTTTCTACTTCATGCTATGATTTTCGAGACCTGTCTGTTTTTCTTGTATTTAGGTCATGAAATCCCCGATGTTGAGGCGGAGAAGCTAGTGACGCCTTTCGATATCGTAGAAATGCTGTACAAGGTCAAGGTCCGCAAAGTTAAGGTTGAATAAGTACTTTGCTGCGTCCTTTGTTTGTGCTCTGGGTAGTTTCAACTGGTGCTCCTTACGTAGCTGTTGTATATTAACTCTCATTGTAATCTTGCTACTAAACCCTTCCATCTCAACTTCTTCTTAAACGTTGTTGCAAACACCAAGTGGGACGGGGAAACCGCGCTTAGCGCATATTTATTTTCACCACATTCCAATGGTTTCTAAGTTGTAATTGCTTGAACCCAGCCATTCTCGATGAATCATTCAGTTTAATTTTTCAGCCCATTCAAAGGTGACTACTGCAATTGTCTAGCAATTTCAGACAGTTGGGAATGAACCATAATGCCCCCTCATAGAATTCAGTTCACTTTGCCGTCGGACGTAATTATAGCCACGACCTTGTTTTCTTGAAAGTTAGTTCGCGGAGGTATGCCCCTAGCTGCCGCGGACGGCGTAAGCGTGTTCCATTGTTGAAGCCCAGCAGCGTAAGGTTTTCCAGTTTTCTAAAGTCTGGAGGGAGTCTACGCATTCGAAAATCAGTTATTCAGTCGTGTTGCCGACCTTCACTGCCCTGTCTCCCACTGTGTAGGCGTCCGCGACCTCCACGCCCAATTACTCCTAACAAATAGAGGGGCACCACTGAAGTGTTCAGTCTACTAAAGCAGCATTCTGATCGGTGTTAAGCTAGTTTGCTTTAATACGGTGCACGATAAAGCTTGTTCCTAAGAGTTCTTTACCAATGATAGCTGAACCATGAAGTAACCAGAAAAAAACATGAACCCAAAGAAAGAGTGGTAAATCAAGACAGTAACACATCTGAAGTGGCATCGGTAACTCTGTGGAGGAGTTGGTCAGGTTAGCCGTTTTTGCAAATCACGAGACGCCTTGCGTGCTCGCAAAGTCAACGAGGATTCTTAACACCGAGGAGCTTGTTCATTTGCCGGTTCTGTGTGGTGGCAGTGTCGATGACACGCAGGAGAAGAGGGTCCATACGATCCAACTGCTCGTTCTGCGCCTTCAACTCCGCGTTCATTGTGGTCGCCATGCTTTTCAGACGACCCATTCTCGCCGACATAAGGTCTAGGTTCTGGTCAAATTGAGCTCGAGCACTGCCGGAATCTGAATTCTGGTGCAGGAAAACAAGACGATAAACTTTAAGCCAAAGATGATTAATCTGGTGAGGCAACATTCGTTCTGTCCGGTGATTTGGCGATCAACCAATCGAAGACAAAATAAAATGTTAGTCATCAGAAAATTAAGCTAGAGAGGCAACATTCATTTTGTCAACCAATTGACGATGGTGGTAAACCAAGTCGATACATGAAAGCGTTACGGTTAATTTTAGGTGCTCAACTGCCCCATTTAGATGTCGTAGGAACGTGACTTGCGTCGTGCCGCTCTTATTTTATTCCACCATTCTCACTTGCACCAATCATGTAGCAAATTTTGAAGGCTGTCAACTTAGGCGTTTAGGCATTGCAACAGAGAATTTGAACAAGTCGTTATTAACCTGGGCTTGGGAAGGGGACGTCAGGTAACGTTCACCGGTGTCTGCAGGAATCGAAGCAGCGAACGTGGGCACTGAGGTGGCTCGATTGCGGTCGCTCGACGAGGCGGGGGCTGAAGATGTGGTGGTAGGCTGTGGCGGCCTTGAAGTACATCAAGGGAATAGGACTGGTTATAAAGGCAAATCTCTAGGTCACTTGAGACACGACGTGTCAGATAGTCTTTTCTATCACCAAATATGAGATGCATGTGCGATGAATGGCAATGCAAACTTGTGCCAACAATTTGACTGGCTTGAAACTATCAAGACATAACAAAACCCTGAGCATTTGGGTGAAGAGTGATTAAATGTGGTGGAATTATGAAACCATCGCGCAATATTAGCCGTTTCCAAATAACATTCATTTCAAAGAAAGTTGAGATTTAACAAATCATGTAGTAAACATCGACTCCACCGACGTTATGGCGTCATCTGCAACGTGATAATACCCGTCTTCACATTGCTAATCCGATGAAAACTGCAACCCAAACTCGCACCTTTCATGCCCTATCCAGACGTGGATCCATCGAGTTATCACCTTTTCCGATCACTATCAAACACGCTGCGCTAGGTTTCATTCAAGTCTGGCACAGAATTAGAATTACGGGCAAAAGCAGCTGACGCCAAATACACTGATGATGAAATAACACAGTCATTAAGTAAAATGAAATCACAATCACGATATTCAAATAATCCAAACTGCTATTCGAGAGCACACGAAAATACGGTAACACATCAATGCGGACTCAGGTAAGAAAGCTGTCGTACCTCCATTGTTGCTGGTCTAATTATCTCGCAGCCTTAACTAGTGGTGGTACCAACATGTCACTCACCGATTACACATCAAAAAATGTATCCAAGAATGCATTTGATGCCTGCAATTACATCAGGTAACTGCAAAGTTACATTTCTTGAGCCGGGATAACCGATTTAAATTTGAACCATTAGATTACACAACCCGCTATGACCAATCGATGAAGCTAGAGTTGATAAATTCGCATCCACTAAGAAGTTCGCACTTTCGCTTCACCCTTCACGTGGGCCGAGTTAAAAAAAACACTGGTACGTGAAGAGTCAACGTGATCTAGAGAAAGTAAATTTACGTGGGTATGAGACAATGAAGCCCGTATCTTAGCCGTAGGTTTTGTCTGAGATGAGACGACTTTGGTGTAATGGTACGGCACAAAATGTCTGGCAAGTTGTCTTTCATCATTTAAAAGAGGTCACCTAAAGCATCAGGCACAGCTTTTGTGAGGCGTGTAACTTAAGCTGAGAAGAACCAGCTGTTTAGAACAAACAAACCGGCGACACGTTTAAAATATTTGATATAATAAGCAAAAGTACCACCACTACATCACGAACTACAGAACTTACGAAGCACACATAGCGAAAAATGAACACGATTAAAAAATCGAAAACGTACTTTTTCGAGAAAAAACCTTTGAACCAACTTCCAAGGGAGTTGATTTGACGCTGACTGTCCTTCTGTAATTCGCTTATTTGACGCAAGCGGTCTTCAGCACGGTCCAATTTCTCGCCTTGTTCTGCCAACTCTTCTAAGGTACTGATGCCAACCTGCTCGGATTGACTCATGCTCGCCAGCGCACGCTGTTGGCTGGCGAGGGCACGCGATTGGGGTGTTGCATAGGACTACAAAGCGAACACAAGACGTCACCGACGCCATAAATCTGCTCAAGTTACTCCCAAAATAAGCGAAATCTCCTGAAAAAGTATTACCAGTGTGGTCATTAAATCAACGATTTTGCCTTCACTATCAACACAACTGACCTACAATACGAAATGCGATATTCCTGCATAACTCCACATGTTGTGCCAGGCACACGGACTCGGATTTTGAAAACTCTACCCACGGTCTTTAACTGGATTACAGCGGTTAAAAGTGCGATTAAATTTTGAGACATAACCATAAACAATCATTTTTTGGAATCGATATTTTAGGAAGTTCAATGCCGTGAACCCTAATAGCATGACATGATTCTGATCTTGTATTGGTTATGGTTAAAATAATACATTAATTAGCACCGGTAAAATATCAAGGGACGCTAAATGAATCGATGTTTACCAATGGATAAAGACATACTGATTACCAAAAATTTTGGCAAATTAAAATTTTTAAATCAGCGTAAAGAAAAGTAGCAATCACGAATCAAAATTAAATATCTCTTACAAGATTGCTGCCAGGGGCTGCATAGTTTGTGTCAAATGGGTTTGTACTTGTAGAGCCACCATTCCAGGTACCAGAATCATCCCCAAAAGGATTCCTCGACATGACCATGCGGGCTAGTGCGGTCGTGGGCTGAGAAGAAGTACGTTGTGGATTAAGCACATTTTGACTTGTTCAAAATTTTAATTTTTTTCCACCTGATAAAATATAACTGTCACAAAGCAAGTTTTTTTCTTAAATTAATTATTAAGCGTACTAATTCACTATTTTACTACGCTAAGTTAGCAATGGTTCAAGTCAATTTTACCAATTTTAAAGCATTTAGCCTATTTATTTAAATGGTTTTAGAACCTTCGCTGGATTCTACGCTTTGCCTTCATTTTACGTCTACTTTGCATCAATCCACTCTTCCTATACATTGGGGAATTTTTTAATTGTTAGAGCCTAATAATACCATTAAGAAAGTGCGATATTAGCAGTCGGCAGAATCCAAATGTACTTCCAGACTGCAGTATTTAAAATTATGTGTCCTAGTTTAATTTAAGGATTTTTGATGTTTTTTAGAATGCTTAATTTTTTTCTTTATCACTGTTGGCTTCAGAAAAGTTTTCTGCCTTGCTTAACTGCAAAAACATAAATATAATTCTTTCACACTCATTTATTTCTGAGAAAATTCAAGGATATCAAATCGTTGAGCGAGTATTTAATGGCTGACTCATTGACATCATATCCCAAATTACGATTACTTACTACGCAAATTAGAATCACATAGAACTGGTACTCCTTAGTGATCTGGAAATGAAATTGCAATTTCGTCTCCGCAATAACCACATGATGAAAAATTGCTTACAATCAACTTTGGAAGCACTTCGAGTGTGGAAGACAAATTACGCTTTTATCAGCTAATTAAACATTGGTTTTCGGTTGTTCAAAGTGAACGGTTTCTTACTACCGACATCACTCTGTTAAAGGACAGTGTACAGCGGTGTGGGCAACTGAATTGATAAACGTTAATTAAATTAATTCTCTACAATGCATGGTCATTCTGTTCGGTTTTGAATTGGGAGCCTGCCACCTATCATCCTACTGGACATGGAGATGGTATATTAGTCAACGGCTTTAAAATGTGGACACAGAGGCCAAGATTCAATTATTTTTGCACTGTTTTCAATTTGCGATCGTGGAAACCTAGTGAAGTTAAAGTCGAAACCATGGTTGAGGCTCAGAAGGTTATCTTGAAAAAGATGGGATTGGATGTGCTGTTTTCGAATATTAGACATCGACATATTTTGGCAAACAGTGCTTTATTGGTGTTTCTGATACCATCGACTTGTCAGGCATGGTATACAAACTCAAGTCTTGTTCAGATACAGAAGTCAGAAACGACTACTTGGTGTATAGGAGTTTACTTTGGCGCGGCACCGGAATATGCCCCCAAACAATTGAACAATCAGTCGCTCAACTTTGGCATTTAGAAGAAAGCAAACATTTTGACCGCCTCTGCTTACATAAACGCGATAATTTTATGTTGATGACCGGGACAAGCATCAACTTTCCAACACGAACGACGGGTGACTGATGATCACTTCTACAAAGACACTATAAACTATAAAACGTGTTTAACGTCTGAGCCCACAGTGCTTTATAGGAGGCTTCTAAAATTGTGGGTTGCTCCTTGGAAACCATCACCAATTCGGGACAGTATTCAGTATTTCCACCATGCGATGAAATTTTAGGTTAGCAGGTGTACAAGTGCATTTGACTAGAGAAAATTTGGAGGATACCAATTTTACTGAAAACATGGTATATCGGGTAAGAGATGGAATCATTTTGACCCGCACATTGAAAGATGAATCACGAAGCTACCACATTGAAAGATGGAATCACGAAGCCACCACGCTCCTTTTCCGATGTTTCAAATATAAATTGCAATAAATCTCCAGTGATAGTTGAGACCTAAGGTCGCCGCGAGGAAGCCAAGGTTGACTTTAAAAGCACAACAGACCACACACGTAAAACAGTAGCAATCTATTGTGAAAAAAAGACATGAAAATATGATAATTTTGGGGTTGGCGACCGACACCAATCACGAGATTATAACAAGTGCTGCAATTCGCCGCCCCAAGCCCCCTGAGAAAGAGGTTGTGCACCGTGGCAGTCAGAGGTGGTGAGGGTAGAAGTCTTGGAGGTGGGTAGGAGGGGGCATTGAGAGACCGGGGTTCGTGAGGGGAGTAGCCACCGGGAAGGACCTGGGGCTCCCCGCGGCTAGGCGACCTGCATTGGACGAACTCATGAAGCGCGTGGGCGGAGGCATCAATCTGGCTGGTGATGCAAGGGAACCTCCACCGTGGTGTTGCAATCCGCCCAACGGGCTGAGAGGCCCGGATAATGGTGTCTGGGGCTTTCCAAATGACGACTTCGACGTCGACATCATCGGGATCAAGTTGCCAGACTAAAAAGACAATAACTTGCACATTTCTGCGTAGCAGTGAAGGAAACGTGTTAAGGCGTTTGCTACTTACTGTTGTTCGTTCAAGGTCACGTCGAAGCCACTCCAGTGCCTCCAAGACCTTTGGATTTGACGTCTTGAAACCAGCAGATGGTGGTGGAGACGCTACCACGCACTCCTCCTTAGCGCCTTCTTGTTGAGGATACTCCACATGGCGTGAAAGAGTATTAATAAGGCGCTCACGCTCGCTTCCACTTCGTGAATTTGCTGAGATGGTGAGTTCGGTAGATGCGAAGAAGTTAGGCATCGGAGTTGCTGGGCCAGTAGAGCCCGGAGTGGTTGAAGGGGCAGCGGAGGAGACTAGTTTTGCAGACTGAGCGAGAACGAGGAGTTGTAGATCACTTTGCAAGGGCAGGCTGGCACGAAGTAAGCTTGCCAACTCCGCACGAGTTACCACAGAAGATGGACTGCTACTTAGAGATATTCCGGGGACTGGCGAGGGCTGGGAGTCGGTACCTGCTGAGGAGGTTTTCTCGGAAACAGCCGATTCCGAAGCACCAGTTGATGAAACCGCACCTGCATTAGCCCCAGACTCCTCCGAAGACACGGGAAGTGACGCGATGCCTAGAGAGAGCGCTTGTAAGCACTCGGGACGCCAGCGGAAGCCAACGGTCAACTGGGATTGTGTGGGACTCGTCGCCGGTGGCGACGCGGGGGTCTTCGTTGCGCGAGAACCCTTGCTAGACAGGACCTGCGCAGCGCCAGCAGCCGCTTTCAAGAGGGCTCGAAGCACCGTCCACTCACGCCGTTCGAGTGCGAACAGAGCATGGTACTGGAGGAAAAGGTGGCCCACCGGAGAAGCAAGGTAAGTGGGGGGCACGGAAACTGGCGGTGCCACAGCAGCTGAAGCAGAAATTATGCACACTAAGCTCACGTCTTAACATTACAGAGTAGCTTGCCTACGAAAGCACACATACCTTCGAGACGGCGTTTCCACGACGGAGGTGGGCAAGGATGCGGACCGGAATCGGTAGCACCACCTTTAGGCCAAAGCTTATTCGTGGAATTTCGAATTTCCTCACAGACCTGACTGCGCCAGGTGGCTAGATGCAATTGGGCCACCGCGGGCAAGACCTGCGTGATGAGGACAGTGGCGGGATCGGGTTTGGGAGGCTGTGCCTCAGACGGCTCACTTGTTGAGTGCTTGCGAGGTCGCTTTTTTCTCGGTTCCAATTTGGGGGGGTCTGCGCTAGCTACTTCAGGAGGGGTCAAATCGCATCCCAATCCCAGCATTAAGAGGTGCACCAGAAATGGCACTTCCGGTATATTCTAATGGGCATAAAAATTACATTAAATAAACGTACCCTGGGTGACCTGTCCTCATAGAGGCCCGTTATCACAAGTCGAATTAAAGACGAGCATACAGTATAGACAACCCAGGGATCGCGGCAAACAGTTTGTATATCCCTATAAAGCAAGTAAATTATAAAATCCATCAAACAAACCGTTCGAAATTGCTGATTGGTTGATCCGACTTTGCTTGTTCAGTATTTTCATCCTCGTTAAGGATACTAAATGTTCGTTTTTCTCCCGCGCGTTGGGGCCGACAAGACTTGAAATCCACGGCTTTTCTCCGACCGCTGGACTTTTCTTCCGTTTCAGGCACCCAATCGTCGGATGTGTCTTGGTCTAGACCAATTTCGAGTGAAGGAACTTGAGTCGGCTGGCGCTTTCGGTGACGTTTCAAGTGTGACGCCAGTTCACTGGCATGACGAAAATCAATTTTCTTGCTTTTAATGCAAGCATCCATGCACCAAACAAAGTGATGAATCGGATCGGTTACACAAATACGATCCAACTTCGCTTCATTAAAGCTCATTAGGATATCAAACCGAATAGTGCAGAGAAGAGCCGCTGCGAGAGACTGGGACGTCGGCAGTAAAGCGGGCGAGATGAAGAAATGCGGAGGACCATCGTCTTTCTTCTGAAAATTAAATTTACCACTCTTGATTGGAGAAGATTCAGTCTGTCTTTTCGAAGACGATATTTCGCCAGTAGTCGAGAGTTTCTTGTGCGTCGACTTTTCCAACATTTCCTGACACCTTATGTTTTCTTCCCGAAGGATTTCAAGGGCCTGATTCGCAAAAATGAGCCAGATAAACGATGACAATGCCCATCACAAAAATGAACAACTAATATATTAATACACCTACCTTGTCATAAAGCGTTTCATTTTCCCCTATCATTTCAACTAGTTTTATCAAAGACGGATCACGTCTTCGACGACGAGGCGGCCAGTAGAGAATAGGTAGGATATCAGCATTGGCAGAAGTAATAGAGGAAAGTAAAGGATCAAGAAGAGAATCAGATATAGAAGTTTGGTACAATCGCAAGACGTTCATCATCTCCTCTTTGAATCTACAATTTAAAAAAAAAAACAAACAATCATACTTGTTTTGATTATTCATCCATATGTGCCGAAGAACCGGTAATGGAGCATCCTTGTATAGGTAGTCGTTGTCAATGATCAGAGACACATGTCTACTTTTGATTGAATTCATTTGACCAAGAACCTGAACATCAATGACAGAAACAAAGACGTCTTACCATCATGATGGCAGAGCGCATGTACGGATGGTGAATGTACACCATTCCGGTACGAATGAGTTTTTGCCACAGTTTTTGCTGTTTCTTTTCATCATTGTTCTCCATTGCTTTTGCCTGAATTCGTGACTTGACAGCCTCCAACAGGCGGTCATTTATGTTCTACGAATGCATAAAAGAAAAATATTGCATACCCAGAGAACGCTGTGCCGGCTAACGTCGTGAATATCCAGTAGTTTAAGAGCTTGACTAAAATTCGGCACCATCTGCTCCCAGTACTTTTCCTGAAACCGTTCCAAATCATCTTTACTTGTTGTTCCATTTTTAAACAACTCCTCAATGGACTTCTTCATCACAGGGAATACAAAAGGCTTCTAAACACATTAAAAATTACCAACAAACTAACCCCCTTCTTCTCCTCCATCCTGCCTATCTGTGTGTGGTCCGCCAGTGGATATCAACTATGAACACAAAGATTTAGCATATTTAAACATGGTAATTTATTTTTCTCCTAAATGGGTCACTAAAGTCGCCTGCAGTTTCCATTGAAAAAAAAATTAAATTTCGATATAGCGTTTTTTTCAGGCAGTGATTATAAAACAAAGCTTGCTTTCAGTAGAGTTCATCATCAATTCAAAGACAAAATATCGACTCGTCCAGTAATAATGGCTATTTCACTTTAAGGATATATGACTATGTTGATACTAACATTCTAGCCAAGAACACGCAAAAAAACTGCTAACAGAATATCCTGTCTCCAAAGTAATTTATCCGTCGACAGGTTTGATCAAGCACCACCAATAGAAAAATGAACCATGTCTTCTAAAAACACCCGTTTATTAAAATCAGAAATACTTTAAAATATTGACTGTTAAAGTATATCAACTTGGAAACATTTACTACAATGATTGGATTTTCATTAATCGGTAACGATATTTTTCCGTGTAATAAT